AGCTGATCATTTCAATTTGTAGCTCCATTGTGTGCTGGAAGAACTTCCTGCAGATGAGGCACATCCCATCAGTGACTCAGAGAGACTCTCCGTCTGCTAACAGTCATGAATTTGTTCTCTGAACCAGCTACTAGAAGTGACATGCTTTATGTTAGTGTTACATATGCAACAAGAATCTTAAAAATAAAGCCTGTAGGGGCATAATTTCTTTTTTTGCTTCCAAAAATGTCTATACAAGAGCATCTCAAATTAAAAAAAAAAAAATATTTTTTAAAAAAAATTTTTAAAAAATTTTGATAAAAGGAAGATTTTACATTTTTCATATTTTGATCAAAGTGTTTCATTTAACACAACTTTTTATGCACAAACCCTTTCAAAATCAAAATCTAAACATACTTTTAGGTTACATTCAGCATTTATAAATGAAATTGGTATCATATTAATAGATTATTATTGTGCCAGGTTCATCCCATTACTTACTGGTTCACTTGGTTAATACTCAACTACATCACCTGAAAATTACACAGCCTAAGTTACTTAGGCTTCTTCTCCGGGTTACCTTTTTCCTTCATGAATATGTTAAAGCCACTGTTTCATATACAAATTATGGTGGTTTGAAATTAGCATGCAGAAGATTGAATAGAGGGGACAAAGGGAAAACACTACAGAGAACACACAAAAGTCCCTGTCTTCCCACACCTACCTCACTGTTGGAATTCAGATTTCAGCCACCTGCAAACTGGAGCTACTAAAAGCTACTGGAGACGTGCACTTGGAGCTGAAAAATTGAGAGTAGATGACAAAAAGGGCCCATAAAAATCAGAGATGTAAATTAATAATCAAATATACACACACAACAAGGAGACAGATGGCGAGCAATTTTCCCCAGTGTACTTACACTTGTTCTTCTAGTGCGTGTATTTGGGTCACTTGCTAGATTAAATCTCATGTGACAGACCCAACAGAGGTACTGTCAAATGTGTATGGGCTCGGCCTGTTTTTAAATTTTGCAAGTCTGACACCACAGGGTGAAAACATTTATCGTGATTTCTTCAACGCAGTTTGGAATATTGCCCAGCAACTTTGAAACAAGGCTGATGGATATTTTCTACCATCAGCAAGGCTGCCTCATTCAGGCCAGCTAAATAAAATGTGGTACAAGCTAGAGAAAGTTGGTCTGCACTACCAAATCTCATGGAAGAGTCCTGACATGGACACGGACACATCTGTACACGTTTTCCAGAGCACAGGTTTTGTTCATGGGTCCCTGAGAAAATACATCACTTGAGGTTAAAGGTTCTTACTCTTCTTAAAATATGCCTTTCTTCTGACATTTAGGAGAAGAAAGGAACACCTCAATGGATGAGTTGCTTCTGACATGTTCACTTTAACAATGCATGACCTCAGATACGCAGAACACTAAATCTTCCACACTTCAGCTATAACGTGGCAGTGACCTGTCTTAGTTAGCATAGGTCATATGAAGGACTACAGTTTCAATGTAAGGCACCTGCAGATCAAATTGCTTATTGGGATGGGGAGGGGGGCAGAGGAGGCTTAAATGGCAGCAAAAAATAATAATGCAGATTTGTAAGCCTAATTGCAGCAACGGGTTTCCCTCCTGTAATACTGGTAGATATTAGCATGAAACACAAACTACATGTGCAGAGATTAGCCCCCTAAATCTGCCAAAAAGCTGGATTTAACACAGTGCAACAAGCAAGATCTTCAATGCATCTGCAGGAATGGCAACTGCATTTCTCCCTACCCCATTACCATTTCCAAGATGATTTTGCTCAGCAATAAACAAACCTTTATTATAAAGCAACATGAGCTACTGTGGCATTAGATCAACATCTAAATATTCCCCCCTCCTTCCCTCATTATCTCTGTTTTGGGTTACTGCATGCTGCATTCAGCTTCAAATAAAACAAATAAGGAAAAATAAGGAAAAATACATCTATTTGCTCCTAGTTGAACAAGGGGGGGTCATAGTTCACATGTAACTAGGAAATATCACAGCTGTCTATGAGAATTACAGAAGCAGGGACGAGGATGGCAAAAGCTTGTGTTTTCTAGGTCTACACCTACATGGACGAGGGGGGAAAAAAAAAAAGCAGTGCTTCTTTACACTGGTTCTCGAGTTTAAAGACTGTCACTTGCACTCAAAGTAATCAATAAGTCAATTGATCAAAAATATCACATGTTTGTACTGATCATGTATGTGCCATATATCTGTTTAGTCTGAAAGAAACAACAAGTTAGGCACACTAATGACCAAAAGTAAGAACATCTACATTTGGTCACTCAACTTCCTCAGGCTTTAAATTCATTCAATTTCAGTTTAATAGGGTGAAGGGTGGGAAATAAAATATTGAATCCTTTGATACAGAGTCATAAAGCCCACACTACAAGCAAGTTTGTTATATCACTGTCTATACAGTCTTTGCTTTGGTGCCGTGCTGCTGCTAAAATATTAAGTTTTACCACTGGGAAATTGATTTTGCTATAAGAAGTTTTATGATGCCACTTAATCTTGCCCAACCTACGTAAAAAAATACAGAAACCAATTACAGACAGCCTTTATGTAGTAAGTTTGATCACTATATTAAAAAGAGAACAGTCTGATGTAATTTCAATATGATGGCAAAGGAAGCAGAAAAAGCCATAGCAACATGCTGCCCTCCTGAAATAAGACATCATAGGTTCCCATCTTAAATGCACAATCTTTATTCACTTAAAATTAGCAGCATGATCCATCTCCCTCATGGAGGGCTGTGTCCTGCAGCTCCAGCACCAACCTCCTCTTCTAGTGTTACATTTCAAGCGGGCTCCTGCAGGGCAGCAAGATCCTGTGATTACAGTTAAAAGAATACTTCGGGTCTGAGAGCCTGCCTCTTTGAATAGATAAACCTTTCTAGTTCAACAATTACTAGCACGAAACAGCCATTTCTGCCTCAACAGCCATTTCTGCCTCGTCCAGTCCAGTGCTGCAACTGAAAAACATCCTAATTAGATGACCCTCACATACAGAAATGCCATTAAATGGCTTTCAGAGCACTCTAGTAAATGCCTAAATCTCAGCTACAATGACAGTACTTTATTTAGCTAGCAGGTAAACACAAACAAAACAGTATTTTAGAACATCTAAATAACCTGGGATTAGTACTAGCAAAGACAATGGGAGATTACCTTTTCCACCCTTTCCGAGATTACACCCAAATGCTGCTTTTTTCTAACTGCACACTCAGGAAAGATCAAGAGTAACCTTGATCTCCACATCAATAGCACCAGGTTGTTCTTCGAATTGCCTTCCCTGCCTAACCAATTTGAACCGGCCTACAGGACAGGCTTATTAAGCATGTCCTTAAACAACCCAGTTTTGCCCAAACATTGCAACATATGCTATATAGGGTTTTGTAAATATTCCACAACTCCTAAAGTTCTTAACTATAACAAGGGGTTTAAAATAGTATCGATGTGTCAAAGTATTCACTACTTTCTATTTATCCAACTCAGACCTCGCATTACAGAGTAACAGCTAATTTTTTCTTTTATTGTTTGTGAATGAAGTCTCAAAACTTTAAAATACGTTTAAGAAAAATCATTGTAGGGAATTGGAAGACTCACAGAAACCTAAAACCACTTAATTGCTCACAAGGCTTCAAGTGTACGTAAATGACCTGAAGGGCTGAAGCCTGAATTGCCACATTCTGCAGCCAACTCTGTTTCCAGCCAGAGACCTAGACCAGGACTAACACTTGGCATTTGCTTCCAGTACAATAGATTTAATAGTAGCAAGCCTTGAAAACAGGGGGGAGTATTCCGGAAGCGGTGACAGATCCTTAAACACGGCAGGTGCACTGTAATACCGCTTAAGGGAGGAAAATTCCAACTTTAGTAACTAATCTACTCCAGGACATGCAACTTGTTTCCCAAGGCAAATGCCTAATTAAAGACACATCTGACCCTTTTGCATCCCATCAGCGCGCCGGGAAGTTCAGCTCATCCGACCAACACCTTCCTGCTCAGGCACATCCCTAATCCCACCTCACTGTGCTTCCTCGCGTCCCTCCTCTCACATCAAGGCATCGACCCTGCCCAACAGCTGCTCGGAGTTCGAAGGCATCGGGAACCTGCACCGCGCCGCAGGGACCCTCCGCTTCACACACCCCACCCAGGGGCACTCAGTCACTCCCTTGCACACACAGACACCCTTACCGGTGGCCAGCTCCCGGTTCCCGGAGGACTCCAGCCGCGCTGCCGGGACGGGACGGGGCAGGGCGAGCCGCGCCGAGCCCCCGACCGCCCGCACCCGGGGCCACAGAGGAGAGAGGCTGATGAAAAGCTGTCAAAGTCAATCCCTGCTCACTTTTTGGTTGGTTTAATTCCAATGGAGCATGAATCACCCCAGGACAGTTAATAAGTTTAGCCAGGCGTGCTGTTCTCCCTAATACATTATAATTATGCATCTGTTTTAAATGCTATCAGATTAAGTCACCGGAAAAGGCACAAAGCGGTATTTCCCCTGACTGCGAACAGCGCCTTCCCGCAGCTCTGGTGGGCAGGTACGGCCAGGAGAGGAGCAGGTGGGGAGCCCAGCCCCAGCCAGCCCCGCGCCGGTCCCGCCGGTGGTGCTGCGCTCCCGGGAGCAGCCGGGCAGCGGGGGTGGCTTCCAGAGCGGGTCTCGGTCCCGGGGGAGCGCTACGACGGGACGGGAGGTGGCCAGGCGCCCCGCTGGCACCGCGCATCAGGGATCAGCCTGGGACATGCCAAGTTAGAGCGGAGGGTCCCTTCCCGCTGCTTGGGGTTGGAGAAGACAGAGTCAAAGCTGTCGAAGCACCGTGAGCGGCGGATGCCGCCGCGGCCACCCAGAGCCCAGGAGCCACGGGGACCCTCCGGCGTCACCCCGGGCACCCCGAGGCGGGGCGGCCAAATCCCCGCTCCCGACAGGTGGGCAGCCCCGCCCACCCACCCAGCCCCGCCGCTCCCCGCCCTACCTGTCATCGTAGCAGAAGTCGGCGCTCAGGGTGTTGAGGTACAGGGCGAGCCCCAGGGCGCTGCTCAACAACTCCGCGATCATCTCTCCGCCTGCCGCCGCCGCCGCCGCCGCTCTCGCACCGAGGCAGCCCCCTGCCCTGTCCAGCCTCCCGCGCCAGCTCCGCCGCGCCGCCCCCGCGCCCCCCGGCACCGCGGGGCGCTGCTCTGCGCTCCGCCGGCCGCCGCAGCCTGACGGCGTCCCCCCGCTCCGCCGCCCCTACCCCATGGCAGCGGGGCGAGCGGAGGGGAGAGCGCGGCTGGCCTGAGCGGAGCGGGGCGCGTCTCCAGGTCCCACCCTCTTCCCGCGGCGACTCGGCGCTGCCGCGGCTCCTGCTCCAGCTCCGGCCCGCGCCCCTCTCGCTGCCGAGCCGGGAGCCGCCGCCGAGGCTCTGGGAGCGCCCGCGTGGGGCGCCCCGGGCTCCCACCGCGCCTGCGTGCGGACCCGCCCCGTGCCCGCCCCTCCGCGCCCCGCCCCGCGGCCCCCGCGGCCCCCGCGCCCGGGTCGTGCCGAGCTGGGCCCGCGGCGCACACGGTGGGTCCAGCGGGGCGGGCGGGGCCGGGCGCGGGTCTGGGCGTGACCCGCTGCCTCCGGTAATCGCCGAGCACTGCCTTCTTCGAGGGACTGTTTTCTTTCCCCCTTTCTCCTGTCAACGGTTTCCTTTCTCTGTTTTTTGACTTTTTTTTTTTCCCTGTCTTCTTTCAGTCATTTTTCTCTCTTTCCGGTTGCTTTCTCTTTCGTGTCATTTTTCTTTCTTCTTACTTTCTTTTCCCTTTTCCTCTGTTCCCCTTTTCTTCCTTTTCCTGTCTTTCTTTTCCTTGTTTTCCTGTTCCCCTATTCCCCCTTTTTCTTCTTTTTCCTTAGCCTCAAAATAGAGCAGATTAATAGGAAAGAGTGGGCCCTTACCACTGTGGATGGGATGCCAGAGCAGGGGACTTCACGCTCCCAACTTATCCACAGCCTGGTATTTCCCTCTCTACTGGTGTGAACATCCATGGGGAGCCCTTGGCTGAACTTCCAGTTAAGCAAAACCAAAGGAAAACCACTGATACTTGGCAGAGGGAGCTGGAAACAAAGGCACCCCAAGACAAAGGAGCGCTGGAAGCTAGGGCTCCTTCAGGACAGCCCCACATCAGGGTGCTGCCTGAACGAGGTGAGGTGGGCATAGCTTGAGCTGCACACTGCGAATGGGACAGATAAATAGACTGTGAAGGAAACCCAGCTGGGGGAAATAATGCACTGAAAACGTCTTACAGAATTCATGGGATATAGAGGCATGAAGTTATGGAATGGATTTGAGTCCTTCAAGAGAATTTTTTAAATGTTGCCTCCTTTCGTTGCTAGCCAGCCCTTTTGTGTAATTATTTCTTCATGATTTCCATCAAGCAGCACATCACGCTGTCTGAAGAATGCGAGTCTGTACATCAAGCTGTGTCTAATAAATTGAGGAGCTTTTAACAAGTTTTCTTTCTCCCCTATGTGATTATTTAATGCTCTTCTTTGCAACCTCAAAATACACAAAGTGCATTAAGACCTTTTCTAAGCAATGCTTAAAGTGCTCATGTAAAGTCTGCCCCAAGTGTCACAAACATCTCAGCTGCTTCTACTTAGATTCAGGGAATGTGTTATCACCATCAGTGACAGAAATTGCAGACATGGGAGGAGGGTGCATTTTGTTGAGAATATTAAAGCTTTGAGGGACTTTATTGAACCCATTAGCAGATCACATTGATCTGGCATTAAACTTTTCAACCTAAAGCACAGAACATAGTAACCTAGATTTTCAAGAGTTGGTACTTCTGTCAGAAGACCTGTGATTCTTCCCTTAAAATGCCGATTCTCAATGTGATTATGGACCTACTGCCAAGATCCCAATCATCATGACTTAGTCCTTCTTGCTGCAGTGAAATTGCTGAGCTTACACACTAGATTTGCACAGCTCTTTCTCTGGAACATCCTAATAAACTGCATAAAAAACAGTGTAATTGCTGCTGAGTCACAGTGGCAGAAGTCTCTTATTATCCATCAAAAGCATATGTATTTTTTCTTCAGAGGCAGAACTACTGACTGGGGTAGATGAGGGCTAGCAGAAAAGCTTTAGAAACAAAACAAATCCTTCAGGAAAAAAAAGTTTAACGAAGCCTGACACTGTCTAAATAAAGCAAATGTCAAGAAAGGGTAGGATGAGGTATATAGACTCTGTAGAAAGTACCTGCTCCCCAGGACATCCCAAGTGCTCCAGGGTGGCTGGAGATAGTATTAGGGCTACATCAGCCTGTCCTAGTGGATTTAGCTACACTGACAAGAATCCATAAAGTCTATCTTGCAGAGATGTTTGCCTGTATAAACAAAGGGTAAGTTTCTTCCCAATGGTAAGAGCTTTCTTGGAGATAACCTGCTTTATGGAAAGAAATAGATGGCAACGCGTGCATGCACCACCCCACCTGTCAGCTCTGGGACTCAGCAAGCCAGGCCAAGCTGGGGGCAGCAGTCAAAAAGAGCCAATGCAGAAAGTTGGAGACAAGTTCAACATAAAAATCATTGTCCTTCTTAAGCAAACAACACTGCAGAAGTAAACAAGAGGGTAGAAATCAAATCATGATGGAACAATTCCTTCTTTTCCTTGGTTAGTTAAAAGTATTAAATGCATGGGGTTATGAACAACATAATTTACTATAGCATCCAGAGATATCGGATAACATTCTGATTCATAGCAGATTTACAGTATGATGTACAGTAATCACAAGGTGTCAGAAGAGATAATATAGAAATTCAGATCTGTCACTAAGCAGATATTTTGAAAATAGCCTTCACTTCCAGAAAGTCACACACTCTGGTATCAGGGAAAAGGGAAGAGGTGTAGGGTTGTAACAACACATAATAATAACTGTAAAGTTAACTAGAGTTATGTAGTCTAACAGCTGACCTATTGTGTATAGCTTAGTAGACAAATTCACCTTATTTTGCTTTATTGCAAATATGGCAATCAAAATGATCTGTTTTAATACCAGTTGGGAAATTTCTTCATTAGAGACATTATGGACTCTGAGTCATTGTGCTACAATATACTTCACCTAAACTGTACCTGAAAGATTAAGTTGTGGCACAGCATGTAGAAATACATGTCTGTCACAGTGACAGATTTGGTTAACCGGTCATTGACTATGAGACTTTAAATGTCAGGGTAATGCATGTGGTACAGATCCCTCAGCAGATTAGATTAGACACTTCAATTTCTATACACTGGATTCATTTGCTGGAGCTTGTAGAAAATATTTGTGTCAGATTCCTTACAACATCTGAGAAAAGAAAGGCTAGCCCCTTAAAAGCTGTTGGGGTTTTTGGATATTAAGTGTTACTATAGGAATAATCAAGTGGGATTCTTAAATTTTTTGTGCTCAGATACCATCAAATAAGTGTTATAACATATTGTGCCTACTTTTGAACAACCTAAATTACACCCAAAGATGTGGCTTAATGAACCTCAGAAATGTAAACTTTGGTGCATTTACAAACACCCATGCAGTTGTTATTGTTACCAGTTGAGGATAAGCTGGTGTTTTGTGAGGAGGGAAAAAATGACCTTACTTTCATTTTGTGGACTAGGATCCAAGCTGTTGTTTCCCCATCATGCTAACAAGATCATATTAATCCTCAAAGAGAACAGTAATCTCTAAGAAATGCCTTTTTTTTTTTTTTTTTTTTAGTTTGCTAACGTTATGATAATAATGTCAGCAATGACAGCCAAAGAAAATATAAGTTGCAACTGCAAAACTATAAAATCTTATGGAAACCTGCTTGAAATAGGACAGTAAAAACTAAACACATGCAGAAAAAAAAACAAGAACACATAGGACTTCCATCAGTACTTGAAAGAGCATTTAATCAAACACATTTCCTAAGGACGTACATTTCCAGGAGGCACCAGTTCCTACTTTAGATCAGTCAGTGGAGCTAGAGTATTGCTGCAGAACTGGACAGAGGGGGAGAGAGAGAGAGAGAGAGAGACAGAGAGAAAACCAGTGCATTTTTAGTTTGACCTAATCTAATTATGCAGACTCTCTCTGGAAGGAAAAAATATAGTTAAAGGGAAGTTTCTTGTATGGACAAAACATGCAAGAACATTTCTGTGACTCACAGGTAAGCATATCTCAATGGCAGAGAAAAAGGCAGTTTTTAGTTTCTTATGAATTTTCAAGGATGATTTTTTAATATTACTCCATTCTAGACTAATCCTAATCTGCTTTACTTATTTATCTCCCTTGTCCTTTGAGATACCTCAAAAAGAGATCAAAAAGAGTTTTTAATCCTTCTTGTTCAGAGTAAATTGACAGTATAAACTTCCTAATTGCAGATATGTCTATTTGTCATTTCCCAGAACATGAACCTCTTCACTGTTTTTTCATATTTCATAAAAATAGCAATATACCAGTTTTTGGTTTTTGTTGTTGTTGTTCTGTTTATCAAAGCAGCTCAAAGGAACACAGATTCTTAAAAGGTGGCTCTGAAAGCAAATTAGAATTAACCTCATTTTAAACAGGGAAATTGAGGCAACTGGTATTTGTATCAGTTTATCCAGATCATAGGGGAGCTCTACAGCAGAAGAGGAATCTATCTGAGATCCCAGCCGTGATTCCAAGTCATTCATCTGCTTTCATCATGAGATCATCCTTCCGTTCACAGTAATTGATATTTCCTTAGACAAAACACAATGGAATTATCTCAGGGATTAATTTGGCCTAAGACCTTGATTCTGAGGAAAGTCCTACTTGACAGATGGATGCCTGCAACATAACCAAGAGGTCTGTGGCGCACAGCCTGCATTTTGTGCAGGTGGAGGATAGGGAGTATGAGTGGTATATCATATCCTGCTTCTCATCATTTCTTGGCAGCTGTATTGCCCAGTAGATGGAAAAGCTTCATCAACAGCTGAAAGTCTATTCCTTGTCATCTTCCTTCCCACAGAAAGAAGCGAGTCATTGTGTTGTCCATCAGTCCTCTACTTTTTGGGTTACTGACATTTCCCCTGTGATGCAGATGTTGAAAGGCAGTTTTTTACTCAAGATCTGTCTGCTTCTACTTCATTTGTCCTTCACATGTTCAACTTGGGATATAGGCTGTGAAAATTGGACAAAAAATGATGCATCTCTATGGCAGCAACATCAGACCTTTGTCCCATGGCAGAACAAAAGCAGCCAAAGACGCAAGTGTAATTTCCACCTCAATCCCTGCAGATTTTCTATGGAATAACCTAATTTACTTCTTAACTTCAGTACATTCTTGGCTTCCTTCTGTAAAAGCATGAAGTAAAGCCAGG